GGCCACAAAGGCCGAGAACGAGATCCTCGCTGACCGTAACCGCGCCCTTGAGTTCCAGCTCAAGTCCTACGAGCAGATGCTCCGCTCCCCCAAGTCGGAGAGCACCAGCCCCGGCCCCGTCCTCGAGTTCCCCGAACACAAACGCCAGAAGAAGGACGGCCTACCTGGAATGCGCGTGCTCTGCCATGAGATCGCTGCTAGCATGCCCTCCGAGCCTTCCTATGCTGCTCCCTACTATGACTCCATGCCTAGCTCCACCTCGCAGTCCTTCGGAAGTTCCTATCTCACTGCCACCCCTCCTATGACTGGTCCTTCTTCTCCTGCCTTCCCTCCTTCTCAGTCTTCATCTTTCTCATTCCCTGCGCCGTCTCGTCGGCACTCTATCATTGCATCTCCATAAAGTCGCGGTGGAGATTGATGATGCACGTCTCGTTGTTGGACCCTGTTTGATGATATCACGACTCCTTCTCTACTTTTCTGGCTATGCTGCATCCTCCTTTTCATATGAGGCCCTTGCAGCAGTGGTTGTTCTCCCTTACTCTAGGGCCCGTTTTGTTTAGTCCTTCGGTCGTCTTCCCGCTCCATATGCATTTAGCGCCTGCATCGTGTAACAATATTTTCTTTTGATCCCGGGACGAACATGAGGTTCCCTATTTGCTTGAATCCTTTTGCTTTGTCGATTGATCTTGCTGCGTTGGGCGTCCCTTTCGTCTTTTCTCTTCTTGGACAAACACTGTGGCCTTTCTTCTTCTTGTCTCTTGTCCTTTGGCGTTTACGATATGGATATATTGTGTTGGGGTGAATATATTTTGGCTTTCGACTATTTCTTTATTTCCTTTGTCAATTTTCTCTTCTATGTCTATTGTCTATAGCTATGACTCAACGTTTGATGAAAATCATGCGCTTTAGTAGAATCATGGTAGTTACGTTAGTAAACTATAACACGCGTTGACCATTGCCGTATAAAGCTTCCCTCTTGCCCTGGAGTGGTTGAAGCACATTGGATAAGTTTTGAGTCTGCTCCGCCATTTCCCAATGATTTGTTGATGATAGGTATGCCAATTCTATATCCTGTACTGACTATATTGCTCTGCTCTCCTAAACCTGGCACGCGTTTTTGAGAAGTCGGTCCGGTGTATTCATTAATCATGATACAGCCATTTAGTAAGTGATGGATTCCATATTCATATTCTGTAAACTGTGGTTATATTATAATCCTGTTCCATATTAGACCGTGATGTAGATTATTGTTTAAGTTATCAAGGCACCGAACAGAATACGACGAGCGATATATTTTGCCCTCTTGTCGGTGGATCATGTAAACATACAGTCGTTTCTTCAACATCCATTGGATACTGGGCCTACGACATGAGAATGCGAACAATTTCCTAAGCGATATCATACTAGATTTTTTTTGTCGGGGACGAATCAGCTGTCGATCAAAGGCCGTCTCAGGCTCGGCCAGTGGAGATCATTCCAGACATTGTGAAACGGCCAAGGGGTCCCCTAGTTTGAATGAGATATGGGAGGGTGAATTTTCTTTCCTTAGCAGTTCAAAATTATGCCAGTTGTGGTTTGAAGTGTGGAAATAGAGGTGCCTGCCTACATATATACAATAATGTGGTATAAAATATGGGTAGGGGTCCAGGCCGTGTCTCACTTTGACCTCGTGCTGGAGATCCTATGGTCATTTCTAACTATTTTTTTTTTGTTATTCTGTGATTAATTTGAAATTAATAGAATTGTAGGGAAAAAAAGAGGGGAAAATAAAATTACAAGTTTATATATTAAAAAGAACAGTTGAAAATTCGAGCCAAAATGGTGTGAAAGTACTACACGCAATCCCTGTAGAAAACTGGCTACAAGTGGCTACATATGTAAGTAGGGTTGCACAGTGAACTCTGAGCAACTTGTAGCAATATAAAAAGAGAAGACGGTGATCTACCCCCATGCCATACGAGTAGTATTCAATAGCCCCTAAAGTGAGGTTCTAGACGAGGCTATAAATAAAAATAGAAAGGGTCTCGCCTGTCAGACTGGCGTTGGGACGTAGTGAATCACTTATGGCTTATTTTCAGTGAAATAGTAGAGTATAGTAAAATAGACTCAAATAACTACTTGCAATTACGCTCATCACCAAAATATATCAAACAGCAGAATAGCAAAGAAATGTAGTTGTCTTACTGAATTCAGCCGTTCTTCGTTCTTGGCAGGCAATCGCATTTCCCCCGATTCCCTTCTGTTTTCTCCCTAACCCTTCGCTTCACCACTCTCGATCCTCCTCTTCTCCACATTCGTTCGGGGGGTTTTACGAGTGTTCGAGACGGGATTACCCCTGATATTCTACACAACTCACATTATCTCTCATCATGCTGTTGCCAAAGGGTGGTGTTAATTGGAAATCGGCCAAGGCCAGATTGCCGCCATGGAGGGCAATCATCGTTTTATTAACACGGACTCGCTTCTTGGTATCCATAGCCTTGACGGGTCTGCTCATCCTCATGTGGCGCGGTGTCAGCAGGTCTGCATCAGAGATGCAAAGGTGAGAGAACACGCACTCCTCCGGGAACCTATCCATACTGACCCGACTGGCGCCCAAACAGCTTCTACTGCTATGGTTCGAACAAGTCACCCATGGAGATGTCCATTAATGAGATGGTCGAATGGAGTGCGCACGCCCAGACCCCAGTCCTCTTCAACCGCCACGAACCCTACGAAGTCAACTCCACCACTATCACCGATCTCGACCTGAACCCCATCAAGTCTACCTCCAAGGCTGCTCTAAACCGCGAACGTGTACTCATCCTGACCCCTCTGCGTGATGCCGCTCCTTACCTGGCCAAATACTTCGACCTCCTTTACAAACTGTCTTACCCACACGATTTGATCGATCTGGGCTTCCTCGTGGGTGACTGCAAAGATGATACCCTCGCAAACCTCGCATCCGAACTCGATCGCATCCAGAACCACGCCGAGGAGAAAGTTCGCTTCCGCAGTGCAACCATCATTCAGAAGGATTTCGGTGCCGACGTTGAGATGACTGTGGCGGAGCGACACTCGTTCGCCGCACAGGGTCCACGACGCAAGGCTATCGCCCGTGCCCGGAATTACCTCCTCTACTCCGCTCTGAAGGCCGACCACTCCTGGGTGTACTGGCGCGACGTGGACATTACCGACTGTCCTGAGCGTATCCTGGAGGACTTCATGGCCCACGATAAGGATATCCTCGTGCCAAGTATGTGATTTTGCTTGGAATTTGGATCGGAGGTTGGACAGCTGGCTGACAGTGATTTTTCTTTAGACATTTGGTTCCACCGTTACAACCAGGATGGCCATGATATCGAGGGTCGCTGTATGTATACCCGAGACGCCCTGCTATGCAGACTGCTGACATCTTCACCACTAGTTGACTACAACTCATGGATCGAATCCGACAAGGGGCGCCGTCTCCGCGCGTCTCTGCCTACCGACACCGTTTTGGCCGAAGGCTACAAAGAGTACGACACTGGCCGCACCTACTTGGTCGGCATGGGCGACTGGCGGAACAACAAGGACGACGAGGTGGAGCTTGACGGAATTGGTGGTGTCAACATTCTCGTCAAGGCCGATGTGCACCGCTCCGGCATCAACTTCCCCGCATACGCCTTCGAGAACCAAGCCGAGACAGAAGGTTTCGCCCGCATGGCCAAGCGAGCTGGTTACCAAGTGGTCGGACTTCCCAACTACGTGGTCTGGCACATTGATACCGACGAGAAGCCTGGCAACCTCGGAGACCGTAAAGCGTTCTAGTTTCTGCAATCCGTCCGCCGGAAATCTCGCTTGGGACCAAGTTGATCTTTGATCCCAACCCGCCCGAACATCCACCACTCTCCATTACCGCCCCGTGTCTCGCCTTCCCGATAATTACTATTGGGAAAAGCTTCTAACCACAGCGGATTTCACTTCTTTCACTTCTGACGCATTTTCTTTTCCTCTTTTTCCTTTTTTCTTGGATGGATGTTTCGCGACGGAAAGCCTAATGACTTCCCTAATACAGTATCTTCGTGCCGCGTTCTAGGGAGTGTGTGTATTTGTTACCTTGGCGCTACGGGGGAAAATGTTGTCTGGCGGGTTCGCAGGTCTATAAAGTTCGCCGGTTCTCCCTTGATATACTTCGCGTTGGGAACACATCCCTTACGGGGTGTGTATATCCGGGCATGTACACTCGAGTTCAATCACGATCGTCTGTGCAAAACCTACACTAGGGAGAACCGGACCGTCTACTGTCATGTGTTGTTTCTTTCCTCTATTTGATTACGATTCTGCTACGCAGGTCACATCCAAATTGTCCTTTCCATTTCATCTTTTTCGTTTCGTCATATGCTGAGCTGGCGTCCTTGACTTTGTTTTTTGAGATGAGAGGCAGGATATCAGACCAACTCAGTTGAAATCCAGATGCTGTGTGATGAGTCTAGATTTCTTGCAGATGAAGCAAGGCAGATACCCGTGCTGCACAGGCCTATCTGCTGAGTTTCATGTATATAATCAATTGCACGATTTGATTCCCTGCAAACAAACGCGGCAAGTAGTTTAATTGAAGATCTCCTAGCCTCCTTTTTCTCTGGATCAGAGTGGTCAGGCTATCAGTGTTGAGATTCCGGCTTTGCGAGTCTCGCTGAGAAAAAACTAGCAGCAGAGAGGGCTGACCACATCAAATATTCACAAATGAAGCTATTCGCCTTGAACCTCAACTTCCTTCGACCTCCTTTGACGTAGAAATAACAGAGACATCATCTCGATCCCATATAAAATATCATACACGTGACCCATGATCATGCCGGTGCTGACATACTCATTGAGCCAGGGGAGTGCTCAGGTGCCGGCTCATAAAAGCGGCTCGAATAGGAAAGCCCCCTTAGGGAAAAATCCAGTGTACATCGCATGTACCTCGTACAAACGTTGTACAGAAACCCCAATCCACAAGTCAATCGGTTTAGATTGTTTCCTTCATCTCTTTCACTATGTCACTCCATCTCACCCGTGCCCTTCAAAGCAAAGCCCCCGCTTTCCCCCACGCGCGGCAATCATTCCTCCGCGTCCCGCCGTCACACTTATTCTCTTGCCCCTCAGCCTCGATTAAAAACTCCCCCGGAAAATCAATCCTGACCTTACAATCGCGCAATATGTCTTCCGCCCCTGCTAAGAAAGAGTTCCTCTGTATCCTGCCCGATAAGCCCGGCGCGCAGGCCAAGCGTCTCGAGGTTCGCCCGTGAGTCTTTCCCTAGCATCTGGCGTCCAGCGTGGGACATGTGGTGGCAGGATGAGTCTTGCTAATGTGCTCTTCAGTAAGCACCTCGAGGGCGTTAAGCCGAATGTTGCGACTGGTGCTATTGTTGCCGGTGGTATGTGACTCATCTAGACCGTGCCATGGATAGTTCTCAAGCATATATACTGACATGGATTGTCTCTTGCTCAGGCGCAATGCTCAATGCTCACCCCGCTGAGGGTGAGACACCCTCCTTCAAGGGAAGCATGATGCTTGCTGTTGCGGAGAATGAGGCCCAGGTGCTCGAGCTGCTTAACAATGACATATATACCACTTCTGGTGTGTGGGACATGGAGAATGCGCAGATTATTCCGGTAAGTTATGAGAAAGAGGGCTTTTTGGTTCTCTTATTTTTTCTCTTTTTCTTTTTCTCTCTGCTAACTTGTCTCCTGGTTTAGTTCAAGTCTGCTGTTCGTGAGGCTTTGTAGGTGCATATCTAGTTTTTAGCTTTATCACACTAGCAAATTGGCTAGTGTAAGCAATGCCGAAAGGGATACCTAGATACAGTTAGCATCGTAACTTCGTTTCTCATTTGGGTATGGATATCCCGATTGGAATAAGCCGAGAAGTGGAACTATACTCCGACTTTCTCTCCGGATGTAACTCCACGGGAACAAGGCTTATATGTATAATTTAGGCACACGAATGTAGTAATAGCCCGATAAACATAACTATATTGTATTCGAATCGTTGAAATACGACATACATCAGAAATGTCATATTGATAATTGATCGCCAGGGTTCTCTTTCTATGCCTATCACTTATCTCCACTATTTCATATCATTGCCCAACAATTGGCTCACGAAGAGGCGGGAAACAAGACGTTCACCGGGCGAGTCCACCGCGGAGAACTTTGAGTGGTGCAGAAAGGTCGCCACCTATGAGAACTGATATCACCAGCACGCACTCTCACTGGCACAGAGAAATAAATCCCCAACTTTTCGCATCTGGCGCCTCATTTAAATCTCACAATCGAAGGGAAGAGATAAAAGAACGTCATCTTTGTAATCTCCGACGACCGGCGGATCCGGCCAAAGAAACTACCCCATTAGGACTAGCGTGCTTATCTAAGACCCGATCAGATTATTTATGAATTCATCACTTTCTCCCTATCAGATCCATCTTTTTCGCCTTCAATTTATCACCTCTGAAAACGAATATCCCATCAACGATACCCTATCATAATAATCCAACAATGTTCAAGCGCCTAGTCACCGTTGCTCCCCGCATCGGCTCCGTCGCCACTCGCAGCACCCTTTCTCCCCTCACCGGCCTACAGTCCGCTCAACCCGCCATCCGCCGTGCTGCTCCCGCCCCAGCTCAACAGCGCAGAGGATACCACGAGAAGGTCCTAGACCACTACAACAATCCCCGCAATGTCGGCTCTATGAAGAAGGGCGACCAGGACGTCGGTACCGGTCTCGTCGGTGCACCCGCCTGTGGCGATGTCATGAAGTTGCAGATCCGCGTGAACAAGGACTCCGGCCGTATCGACGACGTCGTCTTCAAGACTTTCGGCTGTGGTAGTGCCATCGCTTCGTCCAGTTATCTGACAGAGCTCGTTCGCGGTATGACCCTCGACGAGGCTGGAAAGATTAAGAACACCGATGTGGCGAAGGAGTTGTGCCTGCCTCCTGTCAAGCGTATGTCTTTCCTTCTGCGATGGGTTTGACCGGTTCATATGCTAATATATATATCTTAGTGCACTGCTCCATGCTCGCTGAGGACGCTATCAAGTCTGCCATTGCCAACTACTACACCAAGAACCCCAACACTCGTGCCACAGATCTCTCCGGGACGGGCGGCGTGATTCCTGATGTTAAGGTTGAGACTACCAGCAGCCCTGCTGCTGCTTAAATGAAATTCATTTCTCTTTACTTTGACGGTTTGACGCTGTCGGGTGGATTCTCCATCTGAATGACGCAACCCGCTCGTTTCGTTTCACGAACTCTGCGATTTTTAATCCGAGGTTGTCTTGATACACAGTCATTTGATCAAGGATGCTTGTTCTTGTCAGAGAGAATCGACAAGAACTGGTGTGCGTTTGGGATTCGTTGTACTTGATGTCGCTGAAAATGTGCGCCAAGAGATGACGATGGATGAGATGAAAACAAACAAACTGCCCGTTGGTTTGATGTACATATTTCCCTTTTTCCCTTTTTCTTTTCACGTTCTGATGCGTCTTTTTTCTTTTTTTTTTCTGCGATGGCGCCTCGGTCTGTGGGGTCCTTGATCGATACTCTCATCTCCATTTTCTGAAAAGCAGCGCCTTGATAGTTTCCAATGAAACAATGAAACCAGAACAGTTACCCTTTTTTAGAAGTAGACTTGAAAGTAATGGGCTTCTGGAGGAGACGGAGTTGAATTGGCGACAAATGACCATGATCAGAACCACGTAGTAACACCTCCAGGGCTGTGGTCCTCGTCATTATCTCAGCCTGCCAGCCTAAAACACTCCCAAGTGCTTCCTCAACAGGAACCGAGATATAACAGGTTCGCCTTAGGCAACAAACAGTAGCAGCATCGGATTTCACAGTCATCTCTTCTTTATTGCATCAGCAAGAAACAAACTTAGCGTGGCTGCAATACATTTAGCAAATGGATTCTATGTGATTGTCATTCTCTTCTTCGAAAGTAGCCCCTGTCTGAGCAGAGACAGGTAGCTCGGGTGGCCGGTTTTTACCCTCGCCACTCGACCTCCATAGGAGCTGTGCCTGTTCACACCACCGAAAATGGTCCAAAAAGCTATCTCGCGCGTACACTTTGTCTCGAGCCTCGTATCCCCATTTCGTGCCCCTTGTGCCGATAATATCCTTTTCAATAGCAAGTTGACACCCGGCGCACGAAATTCCGCGTTCCATTATGCCAGTGTGTCTGTGGTAGTAAGGAAGTGCACACGACCCCATAAAGTTGGTCTTTTCATTTCGGTCTAAGCTCGCTGGCTGGGCTTGCGTAAGCGTATGCGGCCGTCTGCAAACTAAAGTATCAGAGCGTAGTCTCGCATGGACTAAACCTCTTCTGCGCCTTGTTACGAACTGTACTTGCTATCGACATCTCTCTACTAGACTTTTACGACGTATTATGTATCAAGGCATGTGCTCTTTGCGGCGAATCCGGCGGAGTTATATCCCTCCTAGTTTGGAAGCGATGTTGTTTTAAATGCCTCCAGCTATCTCCAGAAACCCAAGTACAGACTCTCGCCTCAGTCCGAAAACAATTCCATAGGACTAAAGACGAATTAAACCAACTAAGGTCATTCAAGTCCTTACCTGGAATATATTCGATGAATGAATCTGCACAAAATTCCCGAATTACGATCGTTTCTCTTTATCAAGCTACTGGTTGAGAGAGTCTACCATTCCTGATCTGAGATTTATTTGTCGAAATTTGAACAGAGAACGTATGTCCGGACGGTACAATATGTCAAATAAGAGCTCGAGGGGTAGCCGGTCCAGGTAGCCGATTCCAATATCTGAAGTCCTCTGGAAGGGTGTGGCTATTGACGGGCGAATACCGACGTGTTCACGAGGCGAGTACCAGATCACGGACAGACAGTAGTCTCTGCGGTGGTAGGCGGTGGTTCGAATAATGGCGTCGGTTTGTGCTTCGTCGAAACAGTATTCAGTGGCGGAGCGATATCCGCGGGGCATAAGGGTAGCCATTCTCGAGTTTTTTCGGTACGGGGTGAAAGGAATAGACGGCAAGAATCGCGTCTCTTCAGCGAACTTCCCTAACACTCCTTAAAAGGCGTTGTCGTAATGAACACGCGACTTGATCACGGATTTGAGTGGCTAGAAATCATTGCACAGGGATTTCAATCTGATGGTACTGAGTGGCTAGAGCTTGTTAATTAGAGCTCTTCTCGAGAGCACTATTGTACAATGAGTACCTTGTTTCTTCTCACGTGTCTACACGCTAACTATATGGGAACCGGCAGAACCATTGAAAGGCGGTAGATATGGCGGTATATCTGGGTACAAATGTCTACTAGGTAGTTGCGAATGATGATGCCAGAACAGTTACCCTTTTGTATCAGGAGCAGTCTATGATTGATATTTATCCACAATCTATCTATTTGTACAAGATCACACTTGGATCTTTGCTTTCTGCGAGAACACAGCAGAACGAACCTGGAAACATACAATCCATCCTCTAAAATCTCATGCAAGAGACGAAGAGGCCATAAGTGAAAATAAATACAGAACGCCGTCGCTGATGCACAGACAGACCACTCAAGACAATCCGTGCCAATGAACAAAAACAGAAACAAGGGATATAATGGAGAAACAGAGTAAAACGAAAGACATACCAAGCACAAGCCATCCGCAAAGAACACCTTCTAACCGCTCCGGAGGCCGAAGCGAGTCTTCAAGGACAGTACAGTCTCGTAAACAGACAATTTGACCTCAACACGAAGGTAGCTCGCGTAGGCATACACGAAGCGGAAGAAATTTCGGAAGACGCCGCCAGACTCCTTAATGAGTTCTAACTGCTCTTCAAAGACGGTGCGGGTAGCGTATCGCGCGAGAATAAGGAAAGAGCGCATGGGGCCCTGGCGTGTGTGAAGGTTCTCGTCTAGGCTGCGAGCTGGGAGCGAGTTAGTCAATGATATCTAAAAGAATCGAGGGTCGAACGTGAATACATACTGAGATCGTTGGTCTTCAAGATGAGAAGAATAATACGCGGAACCTGGCCCAGTAGAACAACCAGTTGTTGCAGCATGCCTTCACCCAACGCACCGGAGATATCATCTTTCTCTTTAGCCGTCCGCGAAGAAACGACGCTTTCGTTCGTGAGAACGCTGTAGTCTCTACCGGTAATGGCGCTGGCAAAGAGTGGGAACTGCTTGTCCGTGACGCCAGCGACCTTATACGCAAACTCGCGCATCCGCGGCACGTCCGCATCGATGACGGCTAACCACAGCTTGGCATAGTTGCGGCGCAGGTCGCGGTCAATGTTGCGGTAGAGTCCGTGGTCATAGAGGACGATGTCGAAGTTGGGGTGTGAGCGGGTGTGGTTCGGGCGGATGGCGATGTTGCCACCATGGGGATCGCAGTGGAGTGGGGCGTTGTCGCCGAAGATCATCTCGTTGAAGACATGCGCGAGAGCGGCGGAGACTTCGTCGCGGTCGATGTTGTTAGCGTCCAGATACTCCAGATCGTCGGGACGGTGGCCTGCGATGTACTCCATGACGAGGATACGTTTTTGGGACCACATCACTGGGGTCTAGTTAGCTTCAAATTATACACAAATATAGGGTTGGCAAGATTACGAACCTTCGGGAATGACCAGTGGGGCATCGGAGTGCTTTTTGAAGTACTCGCTGGCATGAGTAGCATTCTGGGCTTCCATGCGGAAGTCAAGCTCTTGCGGCAGCGAGAAATCCATTTCCTTGGACAACCACTCCAGGTCATATTCAGGGAAGAAGCGCTTGAGCATGGAAAAAGTGAATCGAGTCAAAGCCAAGTCTAACGGCACCCATTCGTCCAGCGCGGGATGCTGAACTTTAACAGCGACCTTTTGCCCGGTTTCCTTCAATGTAGCAATGTGCACCTGTGCCAGGGATGCAGCACCGATGGGTATCGATTCAAAAGAGCTGAACAACTCATTCATATCCTGGCCTGTGTCCTTGCGGAACAACTCAGCAATTGACTCAATTGACGAAACGGGGCATTTGTCCTGGAGCGGGATGAAGGTCGACGTCCATTCGATGGGAAGCAGGTAGCCCATGCTGCTGAGGTGCTGGCCCAATTTGATGAAAATCGATCCATTCTTTTCTAGCACACGGAGTGTACGCTCGGCACATCGCTTGTGACATGCGCGAATCAGTGCGTTATGTTCTTCAGGGGACGAGGCGTCTTGTTTCAGGGTAACACGGTAGCTGCGAAAATTTGAGGCTGTGTTAGCGACAAGACGCAACGTAGAGAAGGGCTATAAAGTCGCTGCACTTCACTTACTCGTTGATACAGACAGCCAGTGTGCCAACAACGCGCCCACTGCGTTTCGCCGCTTGGAACGCATGCTGCGCTTGATCGGAGAACGTCACTGCGCCCAAACCGAGGATACTTCCGATTATAAACCATTTGATGACGCTCCGCTGCGATACATTCATATTTGGCTCATTTTCGGTCTTGTGCTGGCTCTTAGTCTGCGCAGACAAGAGAGGCGAAGCCTTCACAGAAAATGAACGAGGTGAAGCGGCGAGGGTCCAGCCCCGGGGAGACATTGAACGACCCCATGATGGAGCACTTATCACACCGGACGGGGACAACTGTCGGAGCGGCGAGTTCGAGACCGGAAGAAACGAGGTTCCAGATGTCGAGGGTTTGGATGTCTTCCCGAGCGCCGCAGCGGGATCAATCTTGCATGCCCGCAACGGCACGCGAAGCGCTGCGCTCATCCCGAAGCGAAGGCCACCGGCCAGAAAAAAAGACTAAAAGAAAAGAGGAAGGGACTGATAGCGCTTGTAGCGTTCCTGAGATCAATTCATCGTATGATATTTGTCGGCTCAGAGAGATTTTTCACCGTTCTCGCCGCCAATCGGCTTCGGCGCTGCACGTGATCCCGAGTCCTATAGATCGGCCCATAACAGACGTCATAGCTATATTGGTGTTGAATCAGTTGAAGATGGGATTGACCAGTAGATCCAATAGCGAAGCAAAGACAAAAAAAAAACCGTAAATTCATATCTAGAGAGGAAAGGGGGGTGGGGACTGTATATCAAGGGCTGGCCCCAAGCCGCCAACAAATACAATGAATGAATGCCCTTGAGATGCCTATGATACTATGTTGTGCAGCTCGAACTGTTCACGTATGAGCTTACTCAGAGACGCTTTGCAAATTAGAAGGAATTATTGATTCGAACAAAAAAGAAAACCATAGACTCTATGTGCAGCAACCAGTGCCCACATTTTGCCAAAGGGGTCTTACAGAGGAGAAAAACCATGCACCATCACCCCCAAAGTCCATTTAGAGTTGACAACGCCGTTGCCTGAGTATGCAGGGCTAGGATGAGGTAGAAAATTCGGAAAGCAAATAACAAAAACATGTAGTGTCGCAGTGGACCCGTTTGGACGTCAAATTACGTCCACTCAGAGTCTGCGAGTGTCGGGCGGCGGCGACGAGGGATGATTGAAGGCCGCCGACTCAGCGAGCTTGGAGTCTTGTTGTCTTCCTCACGCAGCAGATCAACGTGAGTCATTCTACTAGAGAGGGGCCGTGCAGACCTGGGCCTGGGAGCGGCCGCACTGTTTCCATTGGCGGCAGATCCAAGAACCGGATTGTTGCCGTCCCGACTGCCAGGTCTCATGGCCAGAGATGAAACACTGAGAGAATTCCGTGGGTGCCGGGGGGTGTCCCGACCTTCCAGATATCCCCTTGACTGGCCGGTGCGGGTCGATGAGGGCGTGGATGGGGTAGAGGATGCCGAGAATAAGATTGGAGGGGTAGTGCATGTACTTTGTCGCCGGGCTGCCGGTCTGCGCTTGCTGACGCCATATGCCTCGCTAGATCGAACGAGCTTGCCTGCCATATCTCTGACAAGGACTGCGGGGTCGTTCTCCATGTTTCGAATAGCGTCGAGAAGACCATACGTTGCGAGTAGCCCACCTTGCTCTTCGCTTGAATCACAAATACTGGCTATTATGCGCAAAAGATTAAGTCGGACGGCGGCTTTGGTGTGGTGCAGCTTCTGCCTCAGTCTCTGGAAGATATCAGGCCGCGCAAATGTGGATGCGACTTGAGGACTGAGTCGAAGAAGCTTTTGCAGAGGTTCGAGAGTGTTTTCGAATGCGTTAGCTTTGGAAAGCTTCAAACATTCCGCAATGGCACCAGTGAATGTAATGGGGCCCTCGAATGTATCGCTCTCAAATCTACCATCCAAGAGTTGCTCTTCAACCTTGGCGGTTTCTTCTTGAAGCCTAATTATTATTCGTTGTCAGCTTTAGGACCAACTACGCTATAGGGACGGGAGACGAACCATGTGAAAATAGCATCCAAAGCAGTGACTTGCCAATATGGATCCAACAGCAAAGAGATGTAAAAGCCCAAACCCTTGTTGCGCCACAGCTCCCTACGGCCAACTTTCCCAGATTGTGCCATATCACAAAGAATTGGTAGGGCAAACTCTTTCAGTGGCCGCTCTGTGAGTACAATCTTTTGCAAAAGCGGTACAATGCCGTTCAATGCAGCGTCTTCTTGCCGAGACTTGTTCAGGCGGCACATATTGTAGATGGTGTTGAGGATCTGGTTCGAGAGCTCGCGGAAGTGTGCTTTCCTCAGGTTTGATCGAAGCAGGTCGGTTAAAACATCGATGGCGTTGGAGTTCTGGAGCGAATCTAGAGTAGTCGAAAGCATCGACAGATTTTTGATGAATTTCAACATCGTGATTTGATGGACTGGACTCATTCGCCTTAGTTCTTTCAAGACCCCTTGAATCAATTGTTAGCATAGAACGTTGCAAATGTCATTGGAAGAAGTAATCCTCACTGTGCAAGACGGTTCGTTCAGAAACCATCTCCTTGACATGATTCTCGGCCTGCGAGAAGATGAAGAAGATATTGGCAATACGACCCTCGATGACTTCTGTCAACTCCCCATCTTCATCGAGAGCACGACTTAGAACTAGAGATAAGGGATCAAGGACAGAGTTGCGGGACAAGAT